GTGTGGAGGGGCTTGAACGCCGACCACTGGCACCAAGCAGACATCCACGGGATCCAAGAAACGGTGTGGCACCCGAGAGCCCAGAAACGATCCACGCGATGATCGGGTAAAAGCAGAACAGTRCGTCATGTAAAACTTCAGCTTCACCAGCCGGCCGCTTCGTCTACCGCGACGACGATGACGTCTCCACCGTGAAAGCAGCGCAGGAACCAGAACAAGTGGCTCCGTATCTCCAACAGAAACGGGGGCAGGGATTGTTGGCCAGCAACATCTAATAACTCCAAATCCTGGACCAAAGGTTGGAGGTCTATCAGTGTGTTAAATGAAGAATGAGTGATAAAATTTGTCTAAATAAGTAGTGGAGTGTAAAAATGAGTTTGCCACTCACAAAGGTGTGTGTGTGTGTGTGGTTGAGTGTGTGCATGTGTGAAGCTGCTGTCTTCAGCGTTGCATGAGGCTGACAGACATTTCCACCTTTACACGTCTTTAATGACTGTAAACACTGAGGAACTGATGAGTTTGAACTTAGAAAAATATTTATTAAATAGTTGAAGTGAAGAAATGAGGCACCACAAGTTTCTGCCACAGTGTGATTTATATTTTAGAATCATGAAGTCTTTCATTCAGATGCATGGCTCGACTCTGAACTACAGTCACATACCTGACTGTAATTTGTTAGGTGTGACAAAAAATATAAACACACTGTCCTCAATTCTTGTGGGGACATCAACCTGCAGAACAGCTGACATTGATCCATAAATTACACAGCAACAAATGTATTGTGTGCATGTTGTGGAGCTGAGGAATCATCACAGCTGAGCTGTTCTCAATCTGCTGAGTCTACAGTTTTTCTCAGTGAGAATTAAAAATGTTTTTTAGACAGTTCACACATTTTATTCTCCTCAACTGTGTGTGCACCTCGCAGGCCTGCGCTCTGCGTGTGTTTCCATGACAACAATAAAACCAGTTTACAGACTGGACTGAGGGTCTCTGATCAGTTTCAGACTGATCTGTTTTCTTGTCTGAGGTTAAATGATTTGCAGTTTCATCATGGTTCAGTTTAAACAATAAAAACTCAAAGTAAAATAAAAATCTAACAGCGTGTTCAGAGGCTCCTTACATCCAGAAAACACAACAGAGTCATATTTCTGTGGATTCAGCTCAGATTCATGACTTCGTGAGTTAAAACTGTCGACTGAAAAACTTTGTGTGTCTGCTGCACATTCTCACAGCTGATGAAAAGTGTGCGTATATTCACGCAGACTTTCACGCAACGTTGGTTTTCATACATCCCAACGTGGCGTAAAACCTGGCGCACAACTTTTTATGCGTACGCTCCGTTGATACATGAGGCCCTGATCTTGGAAGCTAAGCAGGCTTGGGCCTGGTTAGTACTTGGCTGGGTACTTAGATGGGTGACTGCCTGGGAATGCCAGGTGCCGTACCAATGTAGAAGCTGTGCCCACATTGAAACATTAGCAATAGAAAACCTTTGACCATAAAGGTCATCTTCAATGAAGGACGTCGAATCAATCAGTGTGTTAGTTAAAGCAATGTGTTGAATCAAAAAACTGGGGCCTATTTTTTCTCTTTAAGCAGGAAATGTTTGGAATCATAAAACCTTAATCAGCCATCACATAACAAACACAAAAAACTGACAAGATCTCATCTACACCTTTTATTTAAAAACACCAATGAAACAAATATTACAGAATGAGCATAAATTTTTTTTTGACAGACTCGTTTCAAACAAGAACATAAACAGTTTGATACTGAAGATTTACAGAAACTTGACTAACTTTAGAAAAAAAAAGGATCAGTGAGCAGGAACTAAATCCAGCAGAGAAATAAAGCGTAAGTGAAAAACAGGAACATCTTTGAACAATTTGGTTCTCTCCAGAACCAAACCAGAGTGTCTAAAAATATCAAACTACTATAGAGATGGCAAGGGAACAGTATGGCATCGTGTTTCAAAGCCAGTGTGGTTTAGTTTGGGCAATCAGAAGCAGATCAAACAAGCATCCCTGCTCCCTATCTGGAGGAAGAAGAAAATTATTAAAAAAATAATCAAACTAACTTTTTGAATATGCAAGGGGCTCCTCTGGATCTCTGAGGGTCAGTATTCCTGAAGTTTTTATGGAACCTTAATAAACTGATACAAAAACCAGCTAGCCTAAGCTCCCATTCATGCACTTCTCTAACCTATTACTCAAAGTTAAAATCATACTCAAAGATCTGGGTGGTCATGTCTGAGGGAAGGCCCAGGGTTTCTGGGGTGGTTTCCATTGCTGCGGCATCCATTTTATTGGTCGTCTCAGTCTTTGAATGGGATTCTGGATCAGAAACATCGAAACCTTTAGAGTCTGAAGTTGTGGAGTCATGGTCTCCTAATGCCGGTTCCAGATCTGTCTGGCTCTGCTGCTGCTGTCTGGTCTGATATCTGGTCTGAGACCGGGTTTGTCGAGTGGGTGCAGAAGCAGGAGGGGTCTTTCTTGTTGGTGTTGACTTGCCTCTGGTTTTGGGGCCTGGTTTGAGTTTAGACTGTGGTGATAGAGCTGTTTCTGGATGGGGCAGGGATTCAGGTTGAGCCTCTGCTTGGAAATGAGGAGCTGGTTGGGGGAGGGATTCAGGTTGAGCCTCTGCTTGGAAATGAGGAGCTGGTTGGGGGAGGGATTCAGGTTGAGCCTCTGCTTGGAAATCAGGAGCTGGTTTGGGCTGAGATTCAGGTTGAGCTTCTGCTTGGAAATGAGGAGCTGGTTTGGGCTGAGATTCAGGTATTGGTTCCTGATTGGGAGCCTGGTTTACAGATGAACTCTGATCACAGTCTCCTAGAGATGGTTTGGGTTGGATCGTTGGCAGCACCTGAGTCATTTGAGCTGTGGTGGGCTGAAGGGACCAAACAGAGGTGATCTGAATATCTGATTCAGTTTGAATTTGCTGATCTGGAGGACAGATTTTTAAGTCTGTTTCTGGAGATGTTTGGACCTCAGTCAGAATTTGGGTTTGGGTGAAGGAAATAGATTGATTTTGAAGTTCTGTTTGAGGTTTTGATTCATTCTGGGGTTTACTTAGAGGTTGATCTTGAGTTTGGGATTGTGGTTTATCTTGAGGTTGGATTTCAATTTTGGACTGAGGTTGGGCCTGAAAACCGGGCTGTGGTTGTGGCTGAGGTGCTTCTGAAACTAGAAAAATACTTTTGTTGCATGTTTCTGGTCTGGGGAGGGAGGAGAGGCCTTGCTGACTACTACTACTACTACTGTAAAAGATACCAATTAAGTCCTGGGCTTTGGCTGCAGCCAGGTTGTTCTTCACTATATCAGGTTTGGGTGGTCCCAATGGTTTGTTTATGAAAGGTGGTGGTTTGACAAACACAGTGCAGGTTTGTTCACTTTCTGGGACACCAGGAGCTGCCACATCAGAAACAATCTTGATCATTGCTGGTTCTGCAGGTGGATACTTAGACAAAGCATCCTGACAGGACTCTGGGTTCCCTTCTACTGGAACAGGTTTAGTTTCAGAAGTTGCCTTTGACTGGATTGGAGACAAAACTGTTGGAGCAGAATTAACCAGAATGGGCGGAAGTTTAGACTCGACTGGTGGAGGTCTGAAGTCGACTGGTGGAGGTCTGAAGTCGACTGGTGGAGGTCTGAAGTCGACTGGTGGAGGTCTGAAGTCGACTGGTGGAGGTCTGGACTCGACTGGAGGAGGTCTGAAGTCGACAGGAGGAGGTCTGAACCCGACTGGAGGAGGTCTGAACCCGACTGGAGGAGGTCTGAACCCGACTGGAGGAGGTCTGAAGTCGACTGGAGGAGGTCTGGACTCGACTGGAGGAGGTCTGAAGTCGACTGGAGGAGGTCTGAAGTCGACTGGAGGAGGTCTGAAGTCGACTGGAGGAGGTCTGAAGTCGACTGGAGGAGGTCTGGACTCGACTGGAGGAGGTCTGGACTCGACTGGAGGAGGTTTGGACTCGACTGGAGGAGGTCTGGACTCGACTGGAGGAGGTCTGGACTCGACTGAAGGAGGTCTGGACTCGACTGGAGGAGGTCTGGACTCGACTGAAGGAGGTCTGGACTCGACTGGAGGAGGTTTGGACTCAGCTAGGACTGGTTTAGACTCAACTGGAGAAGGTCTAGACTCTATAGCAGGTTTAGAAACTTGCAGATTTTGTTTAGCTTTGGATGATAAAGCTTTTGACTCAGTTGAATCAAGTTTAGGTTCTCCATGTGTAGTATTAACCTTAGACAATTCAGGTTTTGACATTGATGGAGGAAGTTTAGGACCAAATAGTTCTGATTTAGTTACTCCTGGTGCAATGTGGACTGAAGGGAACAGGTTTGTCTGGATAAGTGGTGGCCTGACAAGGGGACCAGGTGCAGCTCCTACTATACTGGTGTTTGGGGATCTCAAATTAAGGAATGTATTAAGTGACGCAGGTTTTCCAGCCATGGCTGCTCTCCTCACCTGATTAGTAGGTGCACGGAGGTCTGGGCGAATCTTTCCTCGACCACTCTTATACCAAGATGGAGGCATGAGTGGTTCACCTGCCAGCTTACTTGAAATCTCTTGTGCAACAGCCAAACACTTTGCAAATGAATCCTCGGCGGTGGATTCCTGCTCTTTTGTATCCATTTCTTCTTCTTCTTTAAGGAAATCTGCTGCTATTTTCTGTGCCTCCTTTGCCAGCTGGTTCTCCTTCTTCTTCCATGTGAACTTTCCAAAAGAAGTGGTTGCAGCTGGTGCTTTACCAGCTTCCAAGCTCTGTTTGCGGAGCTTAGCTCTCATGGCTGGACTGGGTCCACAGAAAATTTTTGGCGGCTCATTTGGTTTTAGTTCAGGAGGTTCAGAGTTGCTGTGGTCCGGTTTTCCTGAATTTCCTGAAGGTTTGTCTGTCCCCATTTCAGCCTGAGTTTTTCGTTCATCGTGCTCCTTGCTGTATTTAGATCTATTGTCTGAATATTTTTCATGCTTATATTTGTCTTCATTGTCTCGGGGGCTGTACTTTGGAGGCTCATTGTATCGGTCCTCATCTTTGCGATAACGGTACCGATGCTCTTCATCTCGGTTGCTGTTCTTGTACCGAATGTTCCGGTCCTCATTGTCTCTGCTGTAGCGGTATTTGTCATCTCTTTTACTGTGTTTATACTTGTCATCCTCATCTTTCTTGCTGTAAGAATACCTCTCCTGTTCCTGGCTCTTTTTAAAATCGTCTTTCCTGCACAGCTTTGACTTATTTACCTCTTCTTCATTTTTAACCTTCAATTTTTCTTCCTTGTGCAGAGCAGAATCCTCTTCAATTTTTTCTTTATCTTTTTTCTCCTTTTTAGGTTTGATCTTTTCTTCTTTTTCTTTGCTACTTTTGTCGTCATCATCATGTTTACGTTTCTTTCCACTCGTCTCTAAAGATAAGCCGGCCTGGCGATCCAAGTTCCTTCTCTGCTCATACAGTGGATTCTCATACATTTGGTTCTGTTGAAGAACATATCAAAAAAGAATGATCACAAATCTACAATAATTGTAGTCCAACTATGTACAGTGGGGAAAATAAGTATTTAGTCAGGCACCAATTGTGCAAGTTCCCCACTTAAAAAGATGAGAGAGGCCTGTAATTGACATCATAGGTAGACCTCAACTATGAGAGACAAAATGTGAAAAAAAATTTGAGAAAATCGTTTTGTCTGA